TCCTCACAGCGGGGTAAGTCGGCTGCGATACGTCGAATTCAGCTACGCTATTCACGTAGCTGAATTTGCGTATCTTAAATCGACTCCCCCCTGTAGTGTAGATGTACCCTGAGGTGAGTGTGAAAAAGCCAAATCAACACAAATTTAAGGCCAGGAAGGTCCATTAAGATAATCTACAATGACCCTCTAGGCCTTTACCAGCTCTAATTTCTGTGATCACATATGGCTAACCCCCCAAATAGAGATCCAAATGGTGAAAGAGAAAACTAAACTTGTGTGAACCTAGTGTGAATCAAAGCCATTTGTCCAGCCTGGCTGATCTTCTGACAAGACTCAGCTACCTTTCCTGACAGATGTATAAGGAGGGGATTTGGAAAACCTGCCTCATATCACGGGGATGGAGAACTGCGCTTCTCAATTCCCCTCTACTAGAAAGTGGTTCCTTCTGCTGCCATGGTGGCCCATACACATCCTGATACTGTGTGCAACAACAGACCGTCACTACCCTCCTTGGCTATAACAGGTGTTTATTCACGCCATCATAACGGAATCTGTGGAAAGACCATTCTCTTCTCTTTAGGTCCTTTTATTCTGCTTATCGCCATGACATGGTGAGCACCTAGACAAGACATTCTTGTTTATGATTCTGCTGTTGATCCTTGTATGACACAGTGTTAATTACTAAAGGATAAAACACGCCCGTGTGGTTTCTGTAGTAAAAAGAATAGTGAAGAGGAGGACAGTTGTTCTATTTTCTCTTCAAATACCTCGCACCACTTATGGAGGGATCTCAAAGCGCTTTACAAATATTAATTTATTAAGCCTCTCAACACTTCCAGGGAGATACTGTAGGTAAGGGACATGGAGGTCACTTTACCCATATCTTGGATCAAATGCAGCAGCTGTCTAGCAGTGTGCAGCTACACTACACATCAGTTGGGAACAGGAAATGAGGATTACTCTATCCAATTGGAACTAGAGGAGAAATTTACAGACATAAAATAACTACTCGAATTGGAGACTGGCTAGGGCCCGGGGGTTTTATAGATGGAGCTTTACGCTCCCCCAGCGCTCTTCGTAGATCACAAGTGGTCAGAAATTTAGTTTTACAGCTGATTGCAAAGATGGGCTCTCCAGCAGCACAGTGCCCCCAACTCCATGCTGGGGCACTGGCTTACTGGGGGCTGAATTCCTCTATTGACTCACCACCACTTTCTGCAGCAACCAGGCATTCAAACAAAGATTCTTATTAATTTGTTAAGCATCAATGAGCTAAAGTATTGACCTGGCCTGACCCAGTTAGGTTGTGAAATCCATTGAGATCACAGCACAAGGCAGTGGGGCTGGTATGCCAAGTAGAGGCTCAAGCACATTTACAGATTAACAGGAGGTGGCACAAGAGAAGCTAGAAAGGAAAGAGAGACACTTTTCACTCCCCAGAAACACTAGTATTTAATAATATGGAGATATCCCTATTTCATAGAACTAGAAGGGACCTTGAAAGGTCATCGAGTCCAGTCCCCTGCCTTCACAGCAGGACCAAGCACTGTCCCTGACAGTATCAGAGGGATAGCCGTGTTAGTCTGGATCTGTAAAAAGCTACAGAGGGTCCTGTGGCACCTTTAAGACTAACAGATGTATTGGAGCATAAGCTTTTGTGGGTGAATACGTCGCATGCGTGAATACGCAAGTGTCTGACGAAGTGGGTATTCACCCATGAACGCTTATGCTCCAATACATTTGTTAGTCTTAAAGGTGCCACAGGACTCTGTTGCTTTGTCCCTGACCGATTCTGCCCCCGGACTGAACTCACAACCCTGGGTTTAGCAGGCCAATGCGCAAACCACTGAGCTATCCCTCCCCCCTTTTACAAAATAAAATTGTGCAAAAGCAAACAGGTCTATTATAACATCTGGCCTATTATTAGTTTTAAACCTGATTAATTTTGATGTGCTCTAGATTAATTCAAATGGGCTTAAAATTTAAAATACCCAAGGAAGAACAATAGTTTCGAACAGAAGGCTTTTAAAATATGAACGCCACTAAAATGGAAATTCAGACAGCTACAGTGCTCGGTTCATTTTACCTGCCCATTAGGGTCGGATTTGAAGATAAGGTGCTGATGTGGTTCCTGGTACAAACAAACAAACAAAAAATTTGCAAGTGGCTCATTTTCATCCACTAATTTCCTTTGTCGGCATACGGAGAGTCTGGTAACAATTTGCTTAACCCTTTGCCTGCTAGCCGCATTGCAAATCCAAGTTGTGTGTGGGTGTAGTTTTCTTCGAAAGGTGGTCTGACATAGTTAAAATGCTGCATCTACTGCTGCCCACATAAAGATGGTTGGAAAGATTACTAGAGTCAGTAGTCTGGCCAAACCTTAAAAATGGTTACTATTTTTGTGGAGCAAAACAATGACAAGATGTCTAGTCATCAATGCACAAATTCTGCCAACCACTAAGAGATCGGATGCCTTCTGTGCCAAAACCTAATTTGGGCTGTGAATCAAGAGATGAAATCCCTCCTTTCTATTTACAACATGCTACCACACAACAGAGGCAATACTAAGGACTGAAGTTATAAGACATCTTTCCTGGCCACTTGCATTCAGAACGGATCAGTAAGATCAGTGGCCTCACAAGCAATCTCCTGCCTTTCCAACTCCAGCAGCAAGAGGAAGCCACTGGCTGCAACTCAGAAAAACTGGTTCAATTCCCAACCCTGCCACAGATTTCCTGTTGGGGACTTTGGGAAAGTCACTGAATCTGTCTGTGCCTTAGTTCCCCAACTGTAAAGTGAGGATAATACTACTTTACTTTCCCCAACTTTTATTTACTTAGACTGTCAACTTTTCAAGACAGAAGTGTCCCTTTCTAGGTGTCTGTACTGCACCTAGCAGAACTATATTATTCATTTGTATT